TTTAGCTAGTGTTGTTGTGCGGAGTATTATTCCCCACTACTATATTAACATTCCTTTTAGTCCTGAAATGTTGTCACCTTCCGGGGACCTAAACTTGTTATTTCCATCGATCGATTGACTCAATCCTGAAAACTATTTTCATTATTTTGTTTATGCTCGCTACAAATTAGGTTATTAATCCCCTCTTTCATCTTTGGGCGTGATTTCTGTATAGATGCTTCTGATAAATTCGGATGAAACACCAGGTCACACAATCTGGCTCATAGACAAAGAAATATTTTGATCACTAGCAGTATACTTCTATTCATGACGTCATAATATCCTCCTAAGACTATTGAGTATTAGTAAATAATTAGTGAATTTAAAATCAACCAATAGAGACAAACTAAGAAGAAACAAACTAGATTCTGACTACATCACATCATATAATAACAAATTTTGTTCTTGACAGCAGTGATAGCCTTGCATTTAATTTTACATGAAATATCAATGATGAAATAAATAAATTGTATATGATAATTTATATGATATAAAAACGTTGCTGTAGCATATTGCGACAAAACTCTAACACAGCATATACTTTTAAAATGATAAAAAATTAAAAAAATTGTACTCAATAGTCAATAATATAATAATAGTAACAACATCATAATTTAAATTTCTGTTGAAGAAGTCAACCCTTGTTCATGATAAAACCGATGTCGAGGAATTTCGGTTTGTTTCTTGACTCTCTTGAAGAACGAATTAATTTAGGGGATATTTTCTTCTCTTCCTCTTCGTTATTCCTGTACAACAACAAAACTTTTACTTCAAAGCAGGAATAATAGTCTGTAGAACGGATATACCACAGGTATATATTATATAACATCTTATTAGTATTGATGTAGTACTTACCAAGAAACAGGTACACTGCGCTTTTCAATTATCTTTTCTGCAGTAGACCAACTGAATCGGACAAATTGAGGAAATCCAAAACTTCATCGACATTATCCATTAACCACTTCTTTGTTTTTGGTCTGTAAAGAGTATATAGTCAATACCAATCAATCTACAGTAAAACCCCGGATTTACCGCAGGCTAAACCCGCGGTAAATCAGGTTTGCAGTAAATCGGGGTTTTGGTTTTTGGGGTACAAAATTGGTCAAAAAAGAGGGATATTTCTGATTGTCTTACGATTGTACTCAGTAACTTAATAGTATCACATGTTAGATAAATTTCAATAACATGCGATTCGATCTCCTTGTCGACTCAGCCGAATGATTGGAAACTTAATTGAGGGTTAAATGAGTAGGGGTACCTGTTAAAAGTTCAAGGATTCACCCTTCAAGAAACTTCCTAGGATACCCCGTCACTCTTCAGTGCATACTGTAATCTGGTACTATTTACTATTATAACTATTATTCTTGATTTCTTTGTAGTACATTGCAAATCGTATCGAAATCTGTAATTATCACTAGCTATCAACATCTGTCATGTTCAGATCGGATCAAGATCACATATTTCCCCCTATCAAGATTCTAAAAAAAAGTGCGATGAGATTGGATTTTGAGACTAAAAAGTGCGATACCCCCCCCCCCCCCCCCCCCCCCCCAGCCTGCAAAATTTCTTGCCCCACATATTACTTTGTATTTAAAAACATTTCCCTTTGTACGCGAAATTGTATGTCGCTCGATGTTTATTTCTCAGAATTATAAGTATGCCGCCGTAATTTGGATCCATACATAACGAAAAATTTACGTGTGTATTTTTATGAAGTATATAATGCTTACATATTGTAAATCTGATAAGCCTCACGTAGCGCCCAGTTTAGGGCGCGGCCGTTAAGCAGCTGATTCCAGGTTCGAGTCTCGTCGACGGTCATTCTTTTGGCAATTATTAATTATTTTACTAAAATTATCATCAGAGCGCCTTGTAATATACTTTATCTGATAAATTATACAGTTCGTACTTCAGCTAGAGAAGACTGGCATTTAGGCCAGAGGGGGGGGGGGGTAAATGGCACTTTTGTAGTTTTTGCATATTTGATAATAGCTAATGGAGACGAACAAAAAGAAAAAAACCGGATCAAAATCTGACCTTGCGCTTCTGAGATATTGCGCGCTCAATTTTGAGGTTTACCTGTAATTACATGTTAAACTGGAACTTTAAACGACTGTAACTTTTTTGACCTTCGATTCCTTAGTTGAGAAAACCGGCCAATCCCTGATCTTGAGATTTGTGGTTCCTTGGACAATTACCTCACATCTGGTGCAGCGATTTTTTTTATTTGACTCTGTCTCAAATTATGAGGTTAACCATGTCAAAAATTCGGAAAATTTAATTGGTTAACCTCATAATTCGAGAAACGAGTCAAATAAAAAAAATCGCTGCACCAGATATCTAGATAGTTGTCCAAGGAACCACTGTACCAAATCTCAATATCAGGGAGTGGCCGGTTTTCTCACTAAGGAATCGAAAGGTCAAAAAATGTGTTTTGAGATAGATGCAATTTAGTGTTGTTCAAAATTTTGATATCACTGGAATGTATCACAGTTCGTTAGTTAGGACTTTTATACACTTAATAACGTTTGGCTTGATCAGACCCCTGGCCGCTCCTAATGTTTAAGCCACTTTCAGTAGTTTAATGGTACTTGTATGTAAAAAATGAGGTTAACCAGACTTCTCACTTCCTGTAAACACTAACTGCATAGAATTTGGGTTGTTAACCTCGCTTTGACCATATAACACTGGGAGTTGGTTTTATCAATATGTTACTATATATGTAGTAAAACATTGTACAGTATAACGATTAAGTTTTTGAGGTTAACATGTAAGTGACTGGTCAGATATTCAAAAAATGAGAGGTTAACCTCATTTTTTGCCCATTTACGGGAAAAATCTTCTACTAAAATTTGGTCAGTTCAGATCACCTTTGTCACGTGATTATAGTTGTAGGCATTGTGATACCAATACATACCTCACTTCGATATTGTGGTACATTACATAAGTAAGAATCGTATGTATATTCCCTACGGTACCAAAAATGTGATGGTTAACCTCATTTTTTTCATTTCTCAGATAAAAGAAAGTCCATCAACACGTCATCTATTTAGAAATTTGTATACCGTAAACTTACGATGAAAATAATAACTCTATCATTTGATCTATTCTCGATATATCTAAAAGAAGAGGTTAACCTCATTTAATCACGTTTGGATATTACTTTTTCTGATAATTATGAACCTAAAATTTAGAGTTTACATTTGCTGACGAAATAACAAAAAATTATGGCGTGTAATACAATATGAACCTCAATTTATTAACCTCAATGTTGTATAGTCAATTTTGTGAAAATCGGTTAACCTCAATTATAAAATAAAGTTAATCAGCTACAAATATGTGAATAGCAGCAATGTTTCTGTCACCAAAAATTAAATCGATTTAGAAAATAATATTTTGGTAGAATTTTTTGACCCCTTACCCCCCCCCCCCCCCCCCCTCTGGCCTTAAGGATTTGTCCGGGGAAGGCCTCGTTCATACTGGAACATATCAAATTATGGTAAACGGAGTTATCTGGTAATATTTGTTTTGTTTATGGCTAGACTTTAGAATGGAATCAATGTGATGAGGATCCAGAGTTAATTACCTGCTAGGATTAATAAGTCAGGTCTACAGTTGAAGAGACCCTTTTTCAAACTTTTAATGAAGAAATATCCACTGTGCCTATGGCAGTGTCAAGTATATTCTGAGAAAGATGGAGTCCACTGTAGCCAGGAATAGTACCTTGAGATTTCGACCATTACCGGACCTCCTTTAATGGTAACCATGATAACTATAGTAACCACTGTGAATCTTGATCTTATAAACTGATTAATATCGACAACAACTAGTATCCTTTCAGACTTAGACAGTACAGAAAAGTAAGCCGTCAGATTAACACAACCAGTAATAATTCAAAACAATCAATACCAAAAGTTCAATGACCATGAAAAGTCGGCTTGATGATAAAGACGAAAAGGCCAGCAAGTTGAGGAATAGTATTATGGGGCCGTTGCATGGGAAAGAAGAATAAACACGCTGAAAAGCGATGAAAATGCAAGCGCGCGACCGAATATGTAGTGCTGAAAGAGGGTGCCGAAATCTCGCAGCCAGACTCGCGATATTGGGGTGAGATTTATACTAAACTCGTCAAAATCTCGCACTAATTGCGCGCGGCAAAGTTGTTATACTTTAACCACGTGATCTCACACCGCACTAAGTTCCGAATTTACAAAGTATAAAGTACATTTTTGTGTCGCTTAAAACTTTTAAATTACATTTTTTCTATTTTCTCACACTTTTTTTGTTAGTTTTTTTCGGTGTTTATTTTAAGATTTTGTGCGATGAGCCTGTCTCGCCATCTCGCATGAATCTTGACCTGGGCATATTTCCCCTGTAGCACAAACTGACCCTTCTCAAACACAGTGGTGCCCTGTCATAGGAGTACTGTCAAGCATCACAGCAGCGAAGGCGTTATACGAGAACATGGTCACGTGATTCAATAGCAGTGTGGAGCACGAGCTTGCGTCTTGCTCATGTATATTCAAGCACTACAGCAAGGGATCACGTATCAAGTCAATCTATCCCTTTAGTCTATACATCAGCTGTACAGCATGAATCGACCTAATTCCACTATATCTACCGGAGAATCTCCTTCCTCTAATCGAAAACGTCTAACCATCAGACAGAAGAGAGAAGTGATCCAAATGTTGAAGAGCGGCAAATCCTCCTCTTCATTTGCCCTACACTTTGGAATCGGCGAGACCACTGTTCGAAACATCATGATCTAGAAGAAAAGGGCAGTACTAGACAGATATGAGATCCTGATCACCTTTGGTTCACGTTCCCCTGCTCGTCTGAACGGAAGTCGTTGAAACGTCACTCTACAGACAACGTCGACCAGGCAAAAAAATTAAACTTTTTAGGAAAAAAAATCAAAATTTTCGAAAAATAATTCGGGTGGAAAGGAAATACCCCATTACCTGACGGATAGCCACATCCAGAATCAGAAATGTCATAACCCTTCTCTGGAAACTGCCACTCTTTCATACACCGATCTCTGCAAACCTTAAGAGAAAGAGACATGTGTAACTACACTGTGTATCATTTATCAATCAATTATCGTCAGATAAACCAGAAACGATGGAATATTTTAATCTGATATGAGAGATTGTATGTTTAGTCACAGTTTTAGGGTAATTTCATTGATTTACATTCTACATTTTAACAATTAGTTAAGATACACATTCACATACATAGTTAAACCGTAATCCTTTTTACCTACCTTAGCAAAAATACTGCTAGCTCCACAAATGGGATATTTGTCGTCAGCCTTTGATGCAACTGTGATATTCAATGTAGGAAAGAGAGCTGACAACTTGGCTTGGTACTTTTCTGCTGGCCCCACTGTGTCCACATAAACATCTTTAACCTGAATTGGAACCAAAATATATAATACTAGTGTAACCCGTGCCTACGGCTGGGACTTCACTATCAGGAGGTGACCGGGATTTTGAGCTATCCCGGTAACCGTCCCGGTCCCGGTCAAATGCTGATTTATTTATTTATGATCCCGGTCCCGGTCCCGGTCAATCACTCAAATTTGCCGGGATTTTGACCGGGATCTTTTACATAATTTCATTCACTGTGATTTTAAGTTTTTCCTTTCATTCATTGTGAATTTCATCTTTAAACATCCTCTGAGCCAAATACAACAATGTTTAAAATTGCTAAACAAGTTTGAGTAATAAATTATGATCATGAATTAACTAGTAATCGACCGGAATTCCCGGTACCGGGAATCCCGGTACTAGGATTGGCAATTTTGAGCTATCCCGGTCCCGGTCCCGGTCCCGGTCAAGTCACATTTTTCATCCCGGTCCCAGTCCCGGTCCCGGTAAATTGATAATCTCTTTGAATCTCAGTCCCGGTCAAGGTCCCGGTCCCGGTCAAGTCACATTTTGTATCCCGGTCCCGGTCCCGGTCAGGCCCTGAAATCATGTCCCGGTCACCTCCTGTTCACTATCGCAGTTGAAATGCAAAAGTATAAACTCGCCTATTATATTCGAAAACACGCATTACATGTTTGTAGTTAAAACGGTGCGAAAGTATGAACTCGCTCATTCCAAACAGACCACAATTTAATTCTGAGTGCCCCTCACATATCTAATAGTAATACTTGATAGGCAATCTTGAGGTCCCCTGCCAAATTACCTAATTATATAGCAAATCTACTACGGCCAGGTAGCGTAGTTGGTTAATCATCGGATTTGTAATCGTGAGATTGCGAGTTCGAACCCACTGCCTGCCTAGTCGTGGGGTGAGTGTCGTCGACATTCAGCTAAAGATCCTGAGTTGGACCTATGCAGCCCCCCGGTCTACTCAGCCGAATATTCGAGAAATCGTGTGTGAGGGTTAAATGAGAAGCTGTCCATTGCAGCGAAGTCTCGGGCGAAGAAAGTATGGTACACACTACCTTAACCGTCACTGGCCTAATTAAATCCTTCGGCTTCCTGTAATTGGCTAGTTACACTTGTGTAACAATGTGGCTGTTGGAATACTCCGAAGTAAAATAAGTGTGAGATAAAAAAATTATATGAGGGGAGAGAGAGAGAGAGAGAGAGAGAGAGAGAGAGAGAGAGAGAGAGAGAGAGAGAGAGAGAGAGAGAGAGAGAGAGAGAGAGAGAGAGAGAGAGAGAGAGAGAGAGAGAGAGAGAGAGAGAGAGAGAGAGAGAGAGAGTGGGAGAGTACATACACACACACTTTAGTATCACATTTGGGTCACAAAATGATCTGAAATTAAACCACTTACCACCGACCGATTAAAAAACCTTTATCATTTGGCTTCATCAGAGTTTTCTCAGCACTATACCGAAAAAATCAGCCCCGTAACTCTTACCATATTGATTTAGTCTTAAGGAAATTACATGCGAACGAACACACATCTTGAGATTATTAGTATAGATAGACTATAGACTTAATGAAGTATTTTGAAACAAATTCTATAGCTATTGAATCAAGGGGATTATAATTTTAAAAGTCTATAAAAGATTTCAATTATTTGGCATGAATCTGATCTCACTGGTATCTAATGTTCTGATACATTTTACATTCAATATAGCTTTCATTAAATATCACCATAATTCTATTTAACATAAGGATCAAAGATCATACCTTGACTCCTTTAGCAATTATATTCCTCAGAAGGGATATGGCTGTATCATGTGATATTGCATTTAAGTTGTAATTCTCCCGTCCAAGCATGGATGTTGACAGGTAATTTGCTGACAAGACTGTAACACAATATCCAACAAAATCTGAATTTTCATGCATCTTCCCAAGAATTTCATCTCGATCAGACTCTTTCAATTGCTTGGAATCCCCTACTCCAAGAGCTTCGATATCAGGAATTCTTGACACAGGGCAGTATGCTATACCATAAACCATAGGACCTGAAGTTGTACAGTAAGATGCATGACGTTATTAACCAGCAATTTTGATGAAAACAATCAAATAAAATGTTATTGCGTGTTTCAGGATGGTTCCTATTTAAAAATCCTGTTCTTTCGATGTAATGGTATGCGGAAAGATAATTCCTTACAAGAAGAAAGTAGTAGATAGTGAAATATTGCTTAAGAAAGCCGAATCTATATTTGATTGATAGAAAAAGAATATAGTTGCCAAAACACCTGAATTACATACCTAGGACAGGGCCACGTCCAGCTTCATCAATTCCCACACAGCATTCCTCTGATTGCGTACAGATTGGAACAGGAGAGTCAACAGTAAGCACAGAGTCTGTAAACTTATCGAGGTTACTTAAATCCATAATCTGATGAAATAAGAGCATAATTTACATGAAATTAATAGATTGTAATCTTTGAATTTGTCACTGTAGTATAAAAAAAGCAAGACTGGAGGATAAATTTACCTGCATAGTTCGTTTGAATGTGGGGATAATTGCTCAGTCACAGTGCTAAACTTTGAACTAAAACGATCCAATTTTATAAGCAACATTTCGGCAGATTCGCAGCTACTTGAGCACAGTGCACACATTTGCGGTCTTCAGTAAGAGAGCTCTTGTATTGTGGAAGTTCCCACATTTGTACAATGAGAATAACATAAGATTCAGTGGTGTTTAGGTGGGCAGCAAAAATTTAAGTGGGGCGGCACATATGTACAATTTGCCACTGATATATATTATAGACTGTTAGCTCGCTTCATAAGCATGTCATCCTCGTTCTAAAACTTTTTATGACCTATGCATACACTCCTTGATAGTTATCTTGATCTAGTATCTTTGTTTCACACAATAGAGCATAAGTTTTGTGGTTTATCCACTGGGCTTAGATTTTGTGTTTAAGCTACCAAATTTTATTATTATTTATTATACCGATGCATTACTGAAACAATGAAGATAGTGAAGAATCATCAGCCCATATCTATGTATTCTCTCTTTAAGAAGTCTGAGCTCAGAGATGACAGATTTGTGACACCAGTGGTGTCACACCACACTCATCTCACAATTTCGCATATAAAGGGGCAAATCTATGGAATATGTTTCTTGAGCAGGCGAATGCATGTGGTAAAATAGGTTCACTAGGCTCAATTAAATCCCAATTGAAGCATTCTATCATGAAGGCTCAACACCAACCTGACAATATTAACTGGCAGGACTTAAATTTCAACACATTCCTATGAAAAGACCCCCATTCATATCTTTTTCATATACCTGTCACTCACATCATATATATATACACCACAAAATAAACAGATTCAATCAATCATTACATTCTACACTCACTCTACCACACAAGCACACAAACCATTGAAGCAGGTTACACACGTTTGTACAGTTCACATTATTTGAAGGGAAAAAAATGATACTTTACGTAACGCGCGATTTACATTTTTGTAGCTTAATTATGCAAGCGCTACTTGCCAGATCGACACAAATAATGTAGTTAAAATGGAAGGAGGAGTGGAAGCGGCCATTCATTCAGTCCGACAGATCTTTTAAGATGAATCCACAGAAGCAATCTGCTTGTTGAGGCTGAAAATGTCTTTAAATCGCAGCCCTTACAAACCTCCGATATACCTGCCCAGACTTGTTCACATACATCTTAAATACCTACAGACAAGAAGCAGACCTATCCATAGCCATTTCAGGAAGGTGTCAAGGACATATTGTGATTGATTGATCTAATGATATATTTGATAATATTGTGATTGAGTAATCTAATGATATCATTGATAATACATTCTAACAATTAACTTATACAGGATGTTATCTGTATCTGGAATCAGTGTGTATCATTTGTAAAAGACCATTGTAACCAACTGACATTAACATCCTCTCGTTATAAAGTAAAGATGGCTCAAACTCCAATACCACACCTAACAGTGGGACAGTCTGTGAGAGAATGGAGGAGGAGATACCTGGCTGCTACAGCGACGCTGACAGAGGCTCAGAAGAAGAGCATGATACCGGCTTATGTATTCAGCAGCTATGTTCTCTTAGCCGAAACTGCGATCAAAGAAGATACCCTAGACAAAGCACTTAGTCTTTTAGAAGAATTGATAGATGGGACAGTGGGAAGAGTATCAAGTGTGAATGAGTTTTGGGACCTGAAGCCAGCATCAAGATCATATACAGACATAGTCAGTTATTTCTTCTTACTGCAAAGCGAAGCAGATATAGCCAAAATAACACCTGACATGCTACTGCTGAAGTACTTGAAAGTCATACCAGATGGAGAGCAAATCTATGATGACAATGCTGACAAATTCAAAGCGGACATGGATGCAGCAGCAGTGGTGGAAATTTTCAAGATTGCGAAAGATAAATTGACTACCCTAAAGAAAAGCACAAGTACACCTCAAATCATCAAGAAAGAGAAAGAAGATTTTGATGTATTTGTTGCAGATGAAATGCCAAGATGGGCAGAAGAACTGAGAGAGGGTTTGCACAATGTTCAAGGGATGCTGGGAATGTTTCAAGAAGAGGACGACCAAAACAATGATGGTGAGGACGAACAGATTGTTATGTACAACAAACCCAACTCACAAGCTGATGGATATAATGGCAAAGACAGAAAATGTTGGATATGCCTAGAAAACGGTCACTATGCCAACCGATGCAGCAAAAGAAAATGTGTTCGTTGTGGCAAAGAAGGACATCATGAGAAAAAATGCTATGTTAAATTGACCGAAAACAATAGCTCCAATAGCTCTAGCTCCAGCTCCAGAGGATATAATAGCCCCAGCCCCAGCTTGAGAAGGTCGAATAGCTCAAGTTCCAGAAGTTCTAGTAGCCCCAGCTACTTCAAGTTGCCAAAGAAGAACAATTTATGACTATATGGCATCATCTCAGTGAACAATGTTGAGAAGGACGTGGACATACTATTTGACAGCGGAGCAGGGATATCAGTGATGAGTAAGGAACTGTTTCCTGAATTAGTATCCACCAAGTCCCATAAGGTTTATGGGATTGGAGGTGTTGAATATGCTGGAGAACCAGTTGAATGCAGGATTCTTATCAGTTCAACTTGGGAGACAAAGCATCTGGTCAAACCTCTGCCAATTCCTGACAGGGAGAATTTGTTGATTTTGGGCAGAGACTTTTTGCAACATTTTGGAACCACTGAATTTGACTGGACAAATCAGAGAGTGAGAATTGGAGAAGACTGGGTTTTCATGGTCTCCGAAGATCATACCAAAGATATCACCAGTATCATCAACAGATGTAAGATTGGTCAAGACCTGGCTGAAAATCAGAAAGAAAGCATCAAATTGTTGTTAGAAGATTTTTGCCAAGTTTTTGTCAAAAACAGCAAAGCTCCAAAGTTGTGCACCACTGAACTTCATCGTATCTTTAGTAGAGACGACCGTGTTAGTAAAGACAAGGTACGTAGAATTCCTGACAAATGGAAAAATGAAGTTAATCAACAAGTGATTGAGATGTTAAATAATGGAATTATCCGCCCTTCTAAATCTCCATACAATAGTAACCCTCTTCTCGTCACTACACAGGACAATACTAAACGATTTGTCATAGATTTCCGTAATTTGAATAAGAATACGATCCAAGATTCTTATCCCCTGCCTGACGTGAATGATATGATTGATGCTTGTTTGAACTGTAACTACTTTACCCAACTAGACCTCGCTTCAGGTTACTGGTGTTTGGAGGTACATGAAGATGATAAAAAGAAAACTTCATTCAGCGTGCCTAATGGTAAATATGAATTCAATCGTATGCCTTTTGGACTTAAAAATAGCCAAGCAACTTTCCAAAGGAATATGGATAAAATGATCAATGATCTTAAAGAAAGAGATATTGATGGAGTTGGAGCATTTAGTGATAATGTTTTCATATTTTCAGAAACGTTCGAAGAACACCTCTATGCACTAACTGCAGTGTTAGAAGAGGTAGAGAGGTACAACCTGTCATTGAAACCCGAGAAGTGTGAATTTGGATTCAAAGAAATAGACTTCCTAGGATTTCATATCAGACACAATGAAGTGTTACCCAGAAAAGACAATGTTCAAAAGTTGATTGACTTCCCGATCCCTCAAACTAAAAAGCAGGTTCAAAGACTTTTAGGTATTGGTAACTTCAACAGACGTTTTGTCCCCAAATATGCAGAGATAACAAAACCTTTAACCATGATTCTATCAGATAAAGAGAAGTTTGTCTGGGGTAATAAGCAGCAACAAGCTCTAGATCAATTGATAGACAGTCTCACCAAAGCACCAGCACTAGGGTTACCAGATTTCTCAAAATGTTTCTACATTCAATCAGATGCATCAGAAATCTCAGTGGGAGGAGTCTTATTTCAGAAAGATGATAAAGGCCGGAATATCACGCTAGGATATCATTCCAAAACCCTACAGAAATGTCAGAGAAACTGGAAGGTAACAGAATTGGAGCTATTTGCTATCAAAGAATGCTCAAGAAAGTGGGATGTGTATTGCTCAGGCAAAGTAATATTTATTACTGACCACGAGCCGTTGAAATTCATCCGTAATCACCAAGACAACAGAGGAAAGATTGTTAGATGGTTGTTAGAGCTTGAATCAATTGATTACACTATTGAGTACATCAAAGGAGAAGATAACGAGATTGCTGATGCCCTAAGTAGAGTAGAAATCAGAGAAAATCCTGTAAGCACAGAAGCGGATGGAGACGAGTATATCTATCATACTGATGATAAAACTGACTCAAAATACTGTGATATTGAAAAGATTAAAAAGTTTCAAAAGGAGGATAAAGCACTGCGATTTGTAGTGAAAAAGCTTGAAGAACAAAAGAAAATAAATAAAGGTCCGTTCAGGAACATCAGGTTTCTCCACATTGAAGATGATGTACTGAAAAGAGGAGAAAGAATTGTCATCCCAGAAAAGCTACAAAGAGAAGTTGTAGATGAACTGCATGGACAATATCACTCAGGAGCAGAAAACACAGTGATTATGGTGAAGTCAAGATTTTGGTGGAGACGGATGACTAGCCAAATCGAAAACTGGGTACGTGACTGCCAATCCTGTGCTGCCTGTAAAAGACAAAAAACTCCTAAAGCGGAACTAATAATTACACCTGCAGTTCCAAATCCAAGAGAATCGATCAGCATAGACGTGGCAAGTATGCCAATATCCCCACGAGGAAAGTGCTGTTTCCTTTTAATTGTAGACTTAGCTACAAGATTCATCTCAGTAGCAGCACTCAGTAATCAGAAAGCTGAAACTCTGAAACAGGCATTGTGGGACAAGTGGCTGTCTATATTTAGCATCCCAATAAAGCTGAGATCAGATCAAGGAGCAAACGTCAACGGCAATG